TCACGTGTCAGAACTCAAGAGCCTCGGGCTGTCAGCTGCTGCTGCACCCCCACCTGCCTGGTGTGGTGGTGCGTCTTCTTCCTGCAGCTTAGGTTTTTAAAGAGAACTTGGGCCTTTTGCCTCGTAACATTACCCACGTCCACTTAAGAAATGTGCAAATACGAGAGAGGAGGAGGAAGACAGAGACCCCCGCCCAGGTGTCGAAGCGCGTGCCCCGCTGTCCGCCCCGGCTCACGCCGGTGTCTGTTCTGAGCTGCGGTTTGGGTTTGCAGGTCTCCTGGGTTCGCATCTGACCGCTCGGAGATCACACCAAGCTTTAGCCAAGGAAGGCTGGGGGTTTGTCCTGACGTCTGTGCGCCTTTACGCACCTGTTCGCTGCTGGAGTGATGTGATACTGGGTGCTCTGTTTCTGACACGGGGTAGCGGGGGGGTCTGGGGATACTTGCTGAGAGCTGGGTCAGACTGTCAGCATCGTCAGTGCCCGGGGGTGGCTGTCCCCCCAGCCCCGTCACCTCCTCAGTGTCCCTGCTCCTTGTCCCTGTCTGAGCAGAAGGTACTGTTTGCTTCTAACTCATACACATGTAACACGTATCACAGTCTAAATTCCATCACATACCTGCGACTCACTGTACTGCTGACAAGGTGAATATGGGTCCCACTTTAAATGAAAACATTTTTCCTCTTGGCGTTTGTTTGAGGGGATCCAATAAGCCCGTCTCCCGTCCCCGCCTGAGCTCTGGAGGAGCTGAGACATGAACGAGTCGTGCAGGGGGCACGAAATGGCTCCTTTATTGTGGGTGAGGCTGATACTGGGGAGCAGGGCTGTGTCTGCAGGCAAGTCAGCGGCAGGACTCAGCCGCCCACAGCCAGGCCCGCCTCCCCCGGTCAGCCGCGAGGGGAGCGGGAGGGACGCCTCTGGCTGTGCCTTCCCCAGGCCCCAGTCACCCCAGTGCTGCTCTCCCTGGGCCCCCGTGTCCTGCAGAGGCACCCACCCCACCCTCCTCTCCCTTCCACAGAGTCCTTGGTGCTCACGCACTTGCTCCCTGTTTGTGGGGAGAAGTCACCACATGGAAGTAGCTAATGCGGCACTTCTGGGCCCTGACACGGGCGTACGTTTGTCTCAGGCGTAGCCCAGACTCGTCTTAGTGGTGAGGCTCAGCCTGCAGCACAGGGAGTAGACGTGGACCCACTGCCGCCACACGGGCTCACACTGGGCTTGCTGGGGGCTCCTGCCTGCAGCACAGACTGGGGTGGGGCTCGGGTCCTACCCGGGCACCACCTCGGACCTTGAGTCTGAAAGCTTCAGGGCAGAGGCGGCTCTGAGGCGGCAGGCAGCTCCCACCAGCGCTGAGCCTGGGGCCTGAAGGAATCTAAGCCGTCCGCCACCCCGAGGCGGCTCCCTGTGCAGTGGGCTGGAGGCTCTGTTTGCTTCATCGATGAACTCTGTAACCTGCATTTGAACAGCCGCATCCTAGACTCTGTAAAGGACTTTAACTCTTTGTCAGTTGTCTGCATTTCCTTTAAGCAGCTGTGGAGGCTTGCGGTGCGGGAGGTTCTCCCTCGGGTTGCTCAGAGCCTGTGCCCCGCACGTTCTCACCGCAGAGGGTGCGCTTCCTCCTGACTCGCACGGGGCGGGAGAGGGTCTGTGTCACAGCTGCTGCTTCCCGTGTTCCTGCCGCCCTCCTTCCCACGGGCACCTCTCTCGACCTCTGCTTTGCAAAAACTCAGTGTCAGGAAATGCCCGTCCAATCCGGCCCCTGGTCGCCAAGCACCCCCTTTCTCGTCTCACTCCCCCGCTCGTCCCTTTATGTCCCTCAGAGTTCAACATACAGTCGTCCGCACTCGTCCAGGGTCTCAGTTCAACCACAGAATGAAAATATTTCATGGAAAATTCCAGAAGTAAACAGGGCATACGTTTAAAATTGCCTGCTGTTCTGAGACGCGTGATGCAATCCTGAGCTGTCCCAGGGAGTGAATCATCCCTTTGTCCAGCATCCCGCACCGTGGACGCTCCCCGCCCGCCAGTCACGTATCTCAGCACTCGTATCCCAGCTGCCCTGGTTTCCCTTGGCAACGGGCCCAGCGCTCAGGGGGGCTGCTGGCAGCTCAGAGGTGCCCAAGGGAAGCCGTAAGGTGCTTCCTGTGGGTGAGCCGGGCAAGGTCTCGCCTTCGTGAGTAAGAAAACCCTGTGCTGAGGCTGCGGAGATCCACTGTGAGGGTGACTCGCGTCCCCCAGGACCTGAGGGGGGAAAAGGGGTTGCCCAAGGGAAGCCGTAAGGTGCTTCCTGTGGGTGAGCAGGGCAAGGTCTCGCCTCCGTGAGTAAGAAAACCCTGTTCTGAGGCTGCGGAGATCCACGGTGAGGGCGACTCTCCCGTCCCCCGGGACCTGAGGGGGGGAAAAGGGGTCCTTCCTTTGCGTCTCGCCTCGGCCCGCGAGGGTTCCGGCCACGGCGGGACGAGCGCCTGTTAGGGCAGCGGCGTGGGATTTGTGGGTGGAAGACAGAGCGGATAACGTGCCCTGACCCACAGGGTGGAGTTTCCCGGAAAGCGGAGCCTCTGCGGGGCCCTGGGCAGGAGCCCGAGACAGGACCACCCTCATCACTGCGTCAATGCGACCATCAGAGCCGCTGAGCTAGCAGTGGTGACCGTTCACCTGGCCTGGGCCCGCTTCCTGAGTGGCTGCCTCTCGCTGGGCAGGGGCGGGAGGACCGGCACCTGCAGGCTCAGCGCCGGCCGCAGGCGCAAGGGCTTCCCACATTCACACCCTTCACTGTCCTCCTCCGCTGTCCCCAGGAGCCCGCCTCCAGCTGGCATCAGCCCGGTGTGGTGCGGGGCTTACCCAGCAGGGAGCCAAGCGGGGCCCCTGGAGGGGGGAGGCCTGCTCCCCGTGTCAGAAGCTCAGGAGAGGCTGGGCCGCTGGGGGTGCCGCTGCTGCCACCGAGGTCGTGGTCCCCTGATGCCTCTCAGATGTCTGCTGGGAATGGCCAGTCACCAGCTGGATTAGGGGATGGGGCCCAGGGCGATGTTTAGTTGGGGGTCCTTGATCAGAGGAGGTTTTTAAAGCCATGACTGACAGTTCACCCCCATGGTGAGTGCGGAGAGGAGGAGGCTGGGATCCAGCCCAGGGCACAGTCAAGGTCACGGCTGGGGAGGCCAGTGGGCTGAGCGAGGTCTCACTCGGCACCGTGGGGTCAGGGCCCTGCGTGTGGGCACAGGGAGGGGCTCCTGCTCCTGCCTGTCGCTGGCTCAGGGGCAGCTCAGAAATGCTGGGAACTGGAGGGGGCAGGGGCCACGGAGGCTTTTCTTAACCTGGGGGTTTCGAGAGTCTTTGAGTCCTGATGGGAATGATGGAGGAGAGGCGGGGGTCTGGCCCGGGGCCCCTGGCTCTGGTGGGGTTCGGCGGGATTGCTGGGTTTGTGAAAAGCGGCTGCTGGGAGGAGAGGTGGGGGTGAGGGACAGGCCGGTGCGGCCAGTGGGCAGGGACGCCGAAGGCAGTGACTAGCAGCGTGTCCCCTGCTCCAGACGCCCTGCGTGCTGGCCGTGAGCCCAGTGTCGCCAGCCCAGCGCATGTGGTTCCTCCGTCCTGGCCCTGCTGCGTGGCCGCGTCATGGTCACAGTCACAGTCACAGTCACAGTCACAGTCACGTCCCATGAGGCAGGGCTGGCACTGCGCTCTGCCGCCTTGCGTTCAGGGCTGAGTGTGCGTGTCACTTCCCAGAAAGATGCAGGTGCGGCGTGGGCGATGCAGGCGCCGCCTCCAGGCCGCTGCGCCTGCTTGGGGGGCACACATGGCAGGACCGCCCTCTACACCAGGGCTCCGGACGTGTGTCGCCCGCGGGGAGTCCGGAGGCCCCGGCTTGCCTGCCCGCACAGCCTCTTAGAGGCACGTGTTGATCTTGTGATAAACTTCAGTCTCAC